GAACTCCAGTTCCAGGGGAGCCAATGCCTTCTTATGACAACATTGGCACCAGGCACACACTTGCATACATGTATGCAAAAACATTCATTCATATAAAATAAATAAATTCCCCCCAAATCTTTAAAGTTTCCAAGAGACAATTTAATATTACAGTGTGAAGGGCAAGGAAGAGGTCAGGCGGAACTTGTGATTCCTGCCTTGGCATCAACCACGTTCTATTGAGTCTAGAACATTGTGTGTACAAGAGGAACTGTAGGTCCAAGTTCTTTCCTGCCTGGGTCCCACCACCACCCTTCAGCCCCAAATAAACACATGGACACTATATTAACTATGAAACTGTTGGCCGATGATTAGGGCTTCTTATTGGCTACTTCTGTCTAATTATTAACCCATTTCTATTAATTTATGTATTTCCACGTGGTCTTATCTTACCGTAGAAGGATCTGGACCTCTTATTCCTTGGCAGCTACTTATCGTCTGTTCTTTGGTGAACTCTCTCTGCCTGTTACTCCTTTGGTGGCCTACACCGCAACTCCTCTCTGCCTACACATTCCAGAATTCTCCTTGTCTCCTAGTCCCGCCTATCTTCCTGTATTATTGGCTGAACAGTGTTTTATTCATCAACCAATAAGAGAAACATATATACATCAAGGAACAATTAAGCTGGGTGTTGGTGGTGCATGTTTTTAATCCCGGTACTCAGGAGGTAGAGACAGGTGGGATCTCTGTGAGTTCAAAGCCTGTCTCAAAAAACCAAAATTCACAATAAAACAAAACAAGTAAATATTTATTCCCAAGGTGGAAAATGCTGTTAAAGTGTGACATAATGATTTCTTTTTCTCTCCCCCAACTACCCCCCCTTTTTTTTCTTTAATCATTTTTAGACTCATTTTATGAATGTTTTGCCTGGGGAGGCCAAAAGAGGGCAACAGATACCCTGGAACTGGAGTTATGGATGGCTGTGAGCCACCATATGGGTGCTGGGCACTGACCTTCAATCCTCTGCAAGAGTGACCAGTGTCTTTACTGCTGAGCCATCTCTCTAGCCCTTTTCAGTATTTTGTTTTGTTTTTTGAAACAAGGTCTCTCTATGTAGCCCTGGCTATCCTGGAACTCACTATGTAGACCAGGCTGATCAAATCTCAAACATATAGAGATTTGCCTGTCTCTGACTCCTGAGTGCTGGGATTAAAAACCTGTGCCACAACACCTGTCACATTTTTTAGAAATTTCTTGAGGTAAGATCTCATGTAGCTGGTATCAGTTGTCTGCCTTGAAACCATATACACATCAGCAACAAAACAGACCCAACTGGGTGTTTATGTGTATGTTCTTATATTTACGTATATTTGTGCATACACATACATCTAAAAGTATACAACAATAATAAAGAAAAAGAGGTTATCAAATTGAGAGCCATAGGAGAGACTCATGGGCAGATAACTGGGATGGGCTAGCAGGAGCAAAGGGAGGGGAGAAAGAAAAGGAATGAATATCTTTCAAGTTTCTGTTGAAATGTAAATTTCTTTATCTGAGGATATGTAAGACCATTGGGGGTGTGATCTAATGTTGGGCCCCAGCCCCAAGGCGTCTCTGTGAGTTGCTGGTCAGCCTACAAGTGCAACTTGTTTTCCAGTCCAAGTGCTTTCTGTTTTCTAGTCCTGGCTTACTGCCCTGGCCTTGACCCTCTGACATCAACATCTAGCAGGAGAAAAACAACGATCTCTTCTACCTGGGGTTTTTCCACTGTGCTGTAAACCTGTATATAAAGCTCCTCCCTCCTACAAGCACTTGCAATGAAGACACACACATACATACTCCCCTGGCAATAAAGGCAGCACATGCATTCTCTTAGTACAAACAAATGGACATCTGGTCTCTCTTTTCCTGATACCTTGGAGTTGCTTGTGGCGCTGGCACCACATTCTAAAAATCGTAAAAACTGAAGAGACCAGTCCCTCCCCTTTTTAGCAGCCATGACAGGCTAACATGTACTCACCTGACCTTACCCTTCCTGTCCTGCTCACTAGGTCAGATACCCTCGTGGCAAGGAACCAATCAGAAGTTAGCTGGCGGGGCTGTGCTTTATGGCTCTGGGTGTGCTTTACGGACAGTGCAAAACAGTGACTTGCAGAACACAGCAACTGCCCTGGGAGGACCTATGGGCCATAACAACCAGTTGACCAATCAACACAGGGCAGGTTGTCCAAGCCGGGAATTGCACCAACCCTGGAACTGCTGCATACCCCTAGACACTCCCCTTACATTGCCCTATAAGATCCCTGCTTCATGATTTCTTTCGTCTCTTCTCCAGCCATCTGCTGCAGTGGGTGGACGAAAGGCCCAAGCTAATGGGGTTAGCTGGTTAAATACCTACAATAAAAGACTCTTTGCTTTCGCATCGAAAAGGGCCTCGGTGATTTTGGGATTCAAAATTTAGGCACAACATTTAAAAACCAGAAAAATCAAAAGCAGAATAAAAATATTAGCTTAAAACTTGTAACATGCAGCCGGGCGTTGGTGGCGCACGCCTTTAATCCCAGCACTCGGGAGGCAGAGGCAGGTGGATTTCTGTGAGTTTGAGGCCAGCCTGGTCTACAAAGTGAGTTCCAGGACAGCCTCCAAAGCCACAGAGAAACCCTGTCTCGGAAAAAAAAAAAAAAAACTTGTAACATGCCAGGCACATACATTTAATCCCAGCATTCAGGAGGCAGGATCTCTGTGAGGCCAGCCTGGTCTACAGAGTGAGTTCCAGGACAGGCTCCAAAGCTACAGAGAAACCCTGTCTCAACACCCACTGATTTCCAGTGTCCAGGCTGACTGCAGACAGGGCATGGCCTTGGCAGCAGCCGATGATCCAGGCAGTATCTTGCCAAATGACGACCCTGCCTGCATTTGTAGCAGGCTCCTGGCAGAGTTGACGTGGGTTGCACTGCACCGGGATGGAGCCACGTGGTGATGGCTTCCCTTGTGGCCTCAGGGCAGCCCATAAAGCTTCCGTTTCGAGCATGGTCTTGTCTGTCAAGGACATGGCTGCCTCTTCTTGGGCATTGAAAACTTTAAAAGCCATTTTTCCCAATTCTTGTATGGGAGTTTTGGGACCTATCCTCAGCTTTTTTAAATTGCTTTATAATATCTGGTGTTGACTGAGAAGTGAAATGGGTGGCTAAGATGGTGGCTCCTCAGGGAAGGCCAGGTCAAGTATAGGCCAATGTGTAGTGGGGACAAGGAGGTGTCATTGGAAGGAGAGGGAGGGGCGGAAGGGGGATGGGGAACAGAGAGGACAGTGGGTAAGGAGGAATGAGAGGAATGTGCGCTCCCATAGGATGGGGTTAGGCAGACAGGGGTAGGGAGCACTAGTGTCTCAGGTAAATAGTGTCACAGGGAAAATTTTGTGACGGGGGTGACAGAAGGGCTGGAAGCCCAACAGGGGACAGAGAAGCAAACCAATAATTCACAAAAGGGCTGGAACCACAGCCTCATCTGCTGCTCCAGGAGCAGAAGAAAGAACTGAGGAGGAGGGGAAGGAGGTGGAAATAACTAGGCTTTTCTTTTTTCATTCTTTCCAGACTCCAGTGCTATCTCCCAATACCCAGCCCATGCCTGAAGTCCCCAGTCTTTGGCCAGCCCTCTGCCAAACAGGCCCCCAGAACACCCAGGGGACATGGCTCTTGGGTAAAGAGCAAAGAGCAGCTTTAGATAGGAATTAGCCAGTTTAAGGAATAGCTTCATTTGGAATATCTGTAAAGTATGGATACACTTCAAAGTAATGAAACTTTCCTTAATTCCTTACATTGTAGCCGCCAGAATGTGGTAGCAGCACACACCTTTATATTCCTTTTTTTTTTTTAAATCAGTTTTTCAATACAGGGTTTTTCTGTGTAACAGCCCAGTGGTTGTCCTAGAACTCACTCTGTAGACAAGGCTGGCCTCCAACTCAGAGATTGGCCTGCGTCTGTCTCCCAAATGCTGGAATTAAAGTTATGCGTGCCAGCTTTAATCCTAGCAGTTGGAAAACCCAGGGAAGGGAAAGAGTTCCAGGGCAACTAGGGTTACACAAGTTCCAGGCCAGGCTGACTACAAAAAAGCGAGTTATTTTCTCAACAAAATGAAGGCTGGTGATACAGTGGTGGAGTGCTGGGCATTCCCAAATGCATACACAAATGATACTGTAAGAAAACAGTTTATTTCTTTTCTTCTGTTCCTTAGTCTTCTAGATCATCCCGAATTATTACTGTTTCTGGGCTGATTTAGTGGCACTTTAAATCGATTTTTTAATGCCAGACATTTTTGCTGTTTTTCAGCTGAAATCTATTGTGTTGGGGGTGTATGTGGGGGTGTGTGTGATGAGGCGTTCCATAGAAGAGTAAGCGCCCATTGTAACAGCCTCCACACAGAGCACGAATGCCAGGCAGCAGCGCCATGGCAACCGCATCCCGGTCTTGGGAGGTTCTCAAGGGATTTGTGTCCTGGGAAAGGGCCACACTCGCTGGACTCACGTTTTTAAAAACGGAAATGATATCCACCGGGAAGAAGTTTCCACACGCCCACACGCCACACCAGTCCTCTCCATCATCTAGAATCTTTGTTTAGGAGGATCCAAAATTATTTTATTATTGCGAGTGCATAAACTAGTAAAAAGAAACAAGGCGCAAAGCAAATTAGAAGAGATGCCTTCGTCACAAATCTGAGTCTAGGTCCTTCCCACACCCCCGCCGCTCTTTTTCCGTCGGGATGCCTTCCAGGCGGCTAGTCGAGGGAAAACCAAAAAGCAAAATGCCGAGCCTCCCCGCAGCGCCCTGTCCGCCAGCGGCAGGTGGGGCTGCCCTGCTGGGTCTCCAAGGCTGCGGACGCCCCTCCCACCATCGACTCCAGGCTTCCCCGCGGCATAAAGCAGCCAGAGACTCCGTGCTGCCGGGGGCTTCTGGCCCAGACGCGGGTCTGGGGCGGGGCTGAAGCAGGCCCTCGCGTGATTGGTCAGCCGGGCCAGGAGGCGGGGCTGCCGGACGGACGCTGACAATGAGCCTCCATAAAAGGGAGCGGCGGGGTCGGGGGCCCCGGATCGAGCCCTCCCCGCCTGGGGTCGTGACGCGCTGGAACCCGTAGCTGGCCAGGCGGGCGGAGGGTGAGCTACACGGTCCGTGGGCCCTGCGTGGTCCGAGGCGGGAGGCGGCCGCCACTGGCGGCGCGCCGAGGCCTGCGCGCCCGTCCTCCGCTATCGGGTCGCCCTTCTCCGCCTCGCCATGGCCCTGAGAACAGAGGGCGCCGCGGCGCTCGACTGCTTTGAGGTGACGCTCAAGTGTGAGGAAGGGGAAGACGACGAGGAGGCCGTGGTGGTTGCCGTGATTCCGCGGCCCGAGCCGATGCTCCGAGGTAAAGGGGGGGGACCTCACTTCCGCATGGCGGCCAGGGGCTCGGCCCCCGGTTCCCAATCTCCAGTCCCCAGGCACGGTCCGGGCCAGCGTCTGTGGCCCCGGCGGGTCCTTCCCGGTCGAGTCCACGGCGCGCGCACTCCCGCGCTCCTCCCCCACCGGGGTTTGGAATCCCAGGCCTCTCGGAGCCCCCTCCCTCCACCTCTTCCCCCCCACCTCCCCCCGCTCAGGGTCTGGAGACTTCCATCCACACCGAACGAGCGCTTCGGGTCTTCCGGTTCCCTGCGCCCCCTCGGGCCCAGCGTAGAGGCCGGATTCCCAGGACCGTGGTTTGTGCGCCGCCGTCGTCTCCCGGTTTTGGCCTGACTCTGTCCTAGGCCGAGGGGCGACCAGGCCTCTAGGCCCCAGGCTGGTCGCCGTAGCGGTAACGGGGGTGAAAGCTATCGGGACTGGTAATCTCCCGGGAAGAGAATTTTTAAGAGCCCTGCCAAGTAGAACCTGTCCTACCCCCATCCTCAGGCCTTCTCTCGAAGGAGCCACAGGTGTCAGTTCTAGAACCTGGCCGTTGAATGGAACTGCAAGCAGCACCCGGTTTGAGAAAAGCGGGACTTGTTTGGAGGGTGGTACTAAGCCATCTACATGGAGATTAGTCACCAAAGGAGGTATTTGAGGGACAATCTGGAAATAACTGGCTCTCCCCTCCCTTTCTCCCTTTCTTTGGTCCAAAGGAGAAAACAAAGAGCTACCTTTGTGGAAGACTGTGAGTCATGAAAATGCAAATATTTCCTTATAGTTGGACTGTTAGCCTTAAGACAGTACCCAAAAGAAATTGAGAACTAAGGTGTTTGCTGTGCTTCTTGAACTTAACGGATTTCTGCACTCCTCTCTTTGAGAGATGGGAGGGTTAGAAAATTCGAGAAATAAAGGCCACGTTCCTCTCAGTGTTTGCATCACACAGGTTATTTTCTGCTTGTGCTGGGTTATGGAGTGCTTGCTCTGCTATTGTCAAATGCTCGAAGTTAATCCACTCAACAGCTCTGCCAGGGTGGCATCGTGGTTAAAAGGAAATAGACATCTACAGAGGTTCATTCATTCAACTATATTTATTTATTGGGCAGTTAAATGCCAAGCATTGTTTCAGGCGAAGGGGGGAGGATGGGGGATGGTAACAGTGGTGAGCAGAGTAATTGAAACCCTGCTTTGAACATACATCACAGTGACAGCCAACAGGTAAATTGTATCACCAATAATAAAAACCCAGAGACGATATTATCGGGGAAGACCGAACGATTAGAGAAGCAAAACACCCAAACTACTAGAAGGTTCTTGACTTCTACCAAGGCTAAGACCAAAAGGGTCAATCCTGGCCTCAGGTGACTGCAGGCTGAATACACTGCATTCCTGTCTCGCCCCGCCTTTTATTCCTCTCTAGTGCTGGGACTAACGATGTGTACTACCACCACCCAGCTTCTGTGGCTGACTAGTGTGACTTCTGGGATTAAAGTTGTGTGCTACCACTGCCTGGCCTATATGGCTGACTAGTGTGGCTAGCTTTGCACTCTGATCTTCAGGCAAGCTTTGTTAGATCATAAACAAATGTCACCGCAAAACTGAACTATAGTGTGTTAGATGACAATGAGTTCTTTTTGACTTTGTGTGTCACAGCACACAGGAAGAGGTCAGGACTCCTTTTGTTTTGGTATTTTGAGATGGGGTTTCTCTTTAGCTTTAGAGACTGTCCTGGAACTCGCTCTGTAGATCAGGCTGGTCTTGAACTCAGAGATCCCACTGCCTCTGCCTCCCAAGGCCTGGGATCAAAGGTGTGCACCACCATGTGGGAATGAAATTTGGCTCTTCAGGTTTGGCAGCATGAGTGTTTACCAACCCAGCCATCTCCCTGGCCCAGCAATCAGTTTTTTAGGGAACACAAAGGTGGAATAGGGAAGTGGGGGTGTAGTAAGAATTTTGTTTGTATTGAGTGGTTAGGAAAAGTATCTCTAGCAAGAAGGAAAGGATGGGGCCATGGCAGCACACACCTTTAATCCCAGCACTACACAGAGAGACCTTGAAAAACAAAGTAACAGTGAAAGAATGGATGGAAGCTGTCTTAGAAGAACAAGTATGAAGATTCTAGAGGCTGGCACAAGGTTCTACAAAGATCTGAGGCATGAGAAAGCGGATGAATTCAATTCTTCTTTGGGCTCAGCATGATGGGGCACACCTTTAATTCTGTCACTAAGGAGGCAGAAGTAGGCAGACTTCTGAGTTTCTGGTCATCGTAGTCTATCTAGTGAGTTGCAGGCCAACCAGAGTTGTAGTTAGACAATGTTTTAAAGAAGAAAGAAAAGGGATTTTTTTTTTTTTTTTGGTCTTAGTTACTTTTCTTTTTTGACCAACACCATGACCAAGGCAACTTGTTTGTGGGACTTGGAATATACCTTTAGTCCCAGAGCTTGGAAGGCAGAGGACAAGTGTTGCTGGTCCTCCCCCCCAACCCTACCGCCCTTTAACTCCAAATGAACACACAGAGACGCTATATTAATTATTAAACTGGTGGCCGATGACTAGGGCTTTTATTGGCTCACTCTGTCTTAATTATTCACCTATTTCTATAAATCTAAGTATTTCCATATGGTCTTGGCTTACTGGAGAATGCCCGGACCTGTTTCTCTTTGACAGCTACATATTGTCTGTTTTTGGCAGGCTCCCTCTGCCTACCTCTCCCAGAATTCTCCTAGTCTGGTAGCCCCACCTATCCTTCCTGCCTGGCCACTAGCCAAACAGTGTTTATTCATTAACCAATAAAAGAGACATATATACAGAAGGACATCCCCCATCAGACAAGCTGACAGATCTTAGAATTCAAGGCTAGCCTGGTCTATAGAGAATAGCCAGGGTTACACACACAGGAAAACTTTCTCAGGGGAAAAAAATTAAATGGAAGCTAAGAGTCCCTGACCATCATGGCCAAGAACACAGCTGCAGGCAAGCAAGTATGGTGCTAGGACAGTAGCTGAGAGATTACCCATGATCCACAAGCACAAGGCAGAGAGTGCAGGAGCTAACTAGGAGAGGCAGAGGGAAAGAGACCATAAGTACTAACTGGGAATGGCATAGCACATTTGAAACCTCAAAGCCCTACCCCAAGTGACCCACCACCTAACAACACCACACTTCCTGATTCTTCCCAAACAGTTACACTAACTGTGGGCCCTGCATTCATATACGGAGTCTTTTGGGCCATTCTCATTCAAACCACTAGTCTTGTTCTCTGAAAGTGGAACGATTATCTACCAGTTTACTGAGTCAGACAGAACTGAGATTTATTTATACTTGTTGGAAGATAATGGGCGTGTAATCTGAGCTACTTAGAAGGCTGATGGAGAAGGATCACAAATTCTCAGCCATTCTGGACAGTAGATCTTGTCTCAAAAAGTAAAAAGATAGCTGGAGATAGAGCTCATTGGTAGCACACTTGGTAAATAACAAGTACAGGGGGCTGGAGAGATGGCTCAGAGGTTAAGAGCACTGGCTGCTCTTCCAGAGGTCCTGAGTTCAATTCCCAGCAACCACATGGTGGCTCACAATCATCTGTAATGAGATCTGGTGCCCTCTTCTGGCCTGCAGGAGTACATGGAGGCAGAGTGTTGTATACATAATAAATAAATAAAGTCTTTAAAAACAAGTACAATGCCAAAATAAAATATGGACGTTGTCAGCAGGCTATAAATGAGGGTTGCTTGGAGGAGGAGGTGGCCAAAAGGGATGAAAAGCATTTGCTGAGGCCAGTCCCTTGTCATTGATACCTAGTACTGTTGTGCTTGAGGTTTAGACACAAAACAGAAATCCATCAAGGGCCAGTGCTATGCTGTGGAGGAAACAAGGCAGAGGGGAGTGATGTGTTCAGTTGGGAGTTTACAGCTCCTGCAGGAAGTTAGGAAAATAGTTTCAGAGTGACTGGAGGAGGAACAGACAACTAAGTGAGAGAACCAAGGAGGACAAGTGGTTCCCTGCATGCTTTTGAGTGGTAAAAGTCAAGATGGAAAAGGTGATTGAGCGAAAGAACTGCTGTCTGGGTCGATGATCTTCGCAAGACCTGGTTCAGGAGAAGAGAAGACCAGTTGAAACTAGGGTATCCTATTATCTGGGAGAAAGGTTCTGGGTTCTAGACTGTTATAGATGCTACCTCTTCCTAAAGCCCAAGGTATGAAGAAATTTCAGTTGATAGAGAGTTATGGTCCCCAGGGATCACAGGCACTTGACAGAGGGTACCAGGCTGATGCCGAACTGAGGGTTTTGTCTGCCGTGGCTTTTGGTTCTCACCTACAAAGAGCTGGTAACACAAGTCAAAGAGGGCAAGACCATCATTGCAAATACTTCTGGAGCACCCTGGAAAAGGAAGGCTGGTTGTGAGAGACAGGTTGACTTTTGGGAGAAGCCTCAACCTGTAGAGGAACAGGCAGGGCAGCTGTTCCCTGGTGTGCCAATTCTTTTGGTAACAAGATGATCAAATTTAGCATCCTCACCCTCAAAAGAATATTATTGTGCTTAATCCTGGTGCCATCTGGAAAGAAGGGACCTTAGTTGAGGAGTTGCTGCCCTCAGATGAGCCTATGGGTCTGTCTGGGGAGCAGGTACTTGATCGCTGATTAATTGACATAGGTGAGCCTGAGCTGTGTAAGAAGCCTGGGAATAAGTCTTAGAGTAAGCCCCTTTTTTCTGGTTTCTACTTCAAGCTACTGCCTTGGTGTCCCTGGATGTTGGACTGTACTTTAATTAAACCCTTTCGTAGAGTTACTACTGCTGTGATGACCATGACCAAAAGCAACTTGGGGTAGAAAGGGTTTATTTCACTCACATTCTGTTAACAGGTCATTATCAAAAGCAGTGAGGGCAGGAGCTCATGCAGGGCAGGAGCCTAGAAGGGGGGTGCTGCTTTCTAGCTTGTTCTTGTGGCTTATTCAGCCTGCTTTTTTTGTTTTTGTTTGTTTGTTCTGTTTTTTTGAGACAGGGTTTTTCTATGTAACAGTCCTGGGTGTCGGAACTCACCCTGTAGACCAGCCTAACCTAGAACTCATAGAGATCCACCTGCCTCTGCCTCTCCAGCACTGGATTAAAAGCGTGTACCACTACTTCCAGCTTCAGCCTGCCTTTTTATAGAACCTAGGACCACCAACCCAGAGATGGCCCTACCTACATGCTCTGGACCCTCCCACATCAGTCACTAAAAAAAAATGATCTACAGACTTGCCTACAGCTTATGGAAGCATTTTCTCAATTGAGGCATTCTCTAGTAACTCTAGCTTGTATCAAGTTGACATAAAACTAGCTTGCATACTCCCCTACTTGCTTAGTTGTTTATCACAGCAACAGAAACCAAACTTGGACAGAAATTGGTACCGGGAAAGTACAATAATGTTGTGGTGAACCTGACCATTTGGTTTTAGGGGAGGATTGTGGAACCATTTAGAACTTGGCCAGGAAGTACTGAGTTTAATGAGCTGTAGTAGGAATTTAAAAGATAAGAATTTGAGAGAAGCCAGTCATGGTGGTGTAGGACATTTTGGAGAAAGAAGAAGGCTAGTCTCATGAGTTCTAGTGTAGGCAGAAGTTTCTGTCCCACTGGCAACTTCCAAATAAACACACTGAGGCTTAATTATAAACTCTTGGGCAATAGCTTAGGCTTATTACTAGCTAATTCTTACATTTCAATTAACCCATATTTCTTACCTGCTTTGCTACGTGGCTTGGTACCATTTTTTCAGTATGGCATGTCCATCTTGCTTCTTTCTGTATCTGCTCACGACTCCTGACTCCACCCTACTTCATCCCTGCATACTTAGTTTGGTTGTTCTGCCTATACTATACTTCCTGCCTGGGCTACCAGACAGTCAGTTCTTTATTAACCAATGAGAGTAATGCTTACTCACAGTGTACAGGATTATTCTATAGGATTCTAGGACAGCCAGGGCTACTTAGGGAAACTTAGTGTTGGTGTGGGAAATTGTTGAGAGAAGTACAGCTGATCAAGGGTTGGCTTGTGAAGTTTCAGAGGGAAGTAAAAACTTTTGGTTTTTCTGAGACAAGGTTTCTCTATGTAATCCAGGCTGTCTTGTAACTAACTCTCTAGACCAGGCTGGCCTTGAACTCAGAGATTCACCTGCCTCTGCCTCCTGAGTGCTGGGATTAAATGTGTGCCATCACTCCCTGTCAGGAAGTAGATTCTTATCAGGGCAGTTTGTATGATTTATTTCAATTTTAAGAATCTGCAAGTGAAACCTAGGTTTTGCTGGAATGGATATTGGTTACCTAGTGCTGAAAAAGTTAGCACACAAAATCCGGTGGTCCAGAAGGGTCAAAGGCTAGAAACTGAACATGGCAGTGTGTAAAACTCATCTACTGATTTTGAAGGCATAAAGGAGTGAATTAGACTGTTTTTATCATTAGCTTGACACCGTTTTTAGAGTTACCTTGGAAGAGAGAACTGCAGTTGAAGAATTGCTTCCTTCAGATTGGCTTGTGGACAATGTCTGTTGGAAATTGTCTTGATCGAAAATAGGCAGGAGCACCCAGCCCACCTTGGGTGGCACCATCCCTGGGGTAGTAAGCCTGAGTGATATAAGAAAAAAAGGCTGAAAAAAAAAAAGAAGAAAAAGCTGAACAAGTTAGAGAGTGGGCTGGCTGACTTGCTTGCTTGTTTTTTGTTTTTTTTTTTGTTTTTGTTTTCAAGATAGGATAGCCCTGGCCATCCTACCTGCTCTGCCTCCCAAGTGCTGGGATTAAAGGCGTGTACCACCAATGCCCTGGCTGAGGGAGCAAGTTTTCTAGCAACATTCCTCTTTCAAACTCCTACCCTGAACCCTTCCTGCTTTGGCTTTGTTAATGATAGACCTGTAACCTGTAACCCTTTCCTCCCCAAGTTGCTTTGGTCTTGGTGTTTTATAATAACCGAAAACAAAAAGCAAACTAGAACAATTAAAAAGCTGAATCTGTTAGTGAAACCCTATAAACCTACCTGTTCAGGAGGCTGAGACAGGAGAATTGCATGTTCAAGGCCAACCTGGTTAACTAAGCATGACTTTGACATGTATTGCCAGAATCTGTAAAGGTGGAAGAACAGAACTTCATCCCACAGGGTTGTCCTCTGGCCTCCACATGCACTCCTTGGCACATGTGTCCCTCTTTATACATACACTAATTAGTACTTTAAAGGGAGAAAGGCTAGAGCTGTATCTCAGTGGGTAGAGTACTTACCTAGCATACATGAAGCCCTGGGTTTGATCCCTAACACCTCAAATACCAGGCATGATAGCACATGTTGCACTCAGGAGGTGGAAACAAGAAGCTCTGGAGTTAAAAATTATCTTCAGATGCATAGTGTATTTGAGATCAGCAGCTTGTCTACTTGAGACTGAAGTGTGCATTGTGACCTACAAATCAGATATGGGTACAGTTGACTATAGGTGAGGAAATCTAGAAGCCTCCCTGGAATGATATCTGCCAGATGATCAGAGAGGTCAAGGCAGACATAGGGTGCCCACTAGGCCCGGAAGTAAGTGGGGTGGTAGATGAGAGGTAGTGTAAGGGTGAAGATAGAGCATCAGACACCCGGGCTGTGTGTCTCATGCCGGTTTGTTGGTGGAGAGGTGCAGCGTTGCACAGGAACCCCTCACCCACCCTATACAGATATGTTCTGAGCATCACCAGCCCTGGCCTTTTCACAGCACTTTCCCCTTTCTGCAGTAACCCAACAGGAAAAGACGCCACCACCTAGGACTAACCTGCTGGAAGCAGGAGTTGAAGTCTGCGAGGAGCCCAAGCAGCAAGTGTCCTGGGAACAGGAGTTCCTGGTGGGAAACAGCCCAGGAGGCAGTGGACGGGCCCTGTGCATGGTGTGTGGGGCTGAGATCCGGTCCCCATCAGCAGATACTGCTCGCACACACATCCTGGAGCAGCATCCCCATACCTTGGACCTGAGCCCCTCTGAGAAGAGTAACATCTTGGAAGCCTGGAGTGAAGGGGTGGCCCTTCTACAAGACACCCAAGCTGATCAGCCGTCCCTGCCCAGCCTAGGTAGTGAGGGTGAGGGCTGAGGGAAAAACGGGGCCTGTGGGGGCCTGGAGCTCAGTGGGCTTTTGCCCCCTCAGAGTCAGGCCAGGGTGGCCAGCCAGACCCCAGCTCCAACCCGGACCCTGCCAGGATGCCAGCAGAGATCGTGGTTCTTTTGGACTCTGAGGACAACCCATCTCTCCCTAAGAGGCTCCGGCCCAGAGGACTCCGCCCCCTTGATCTGCCTGGTCAGTCAACAGAGGAGCTGAGGCTCAGTGGGAGATCCTGTGCTATGTGCTGGGGTGGGCAGGTGCTCTCAGGAGTCTGAGGCTGAAGAGTTCATGCAGGCCTTAAAGTGCTAAGTTTTTTTCATTTTGCAGTTGCCCCTGCCACAGAGCCAGTAAATAAAAAGCCCCGTGGTCAGAGATGGAAGGAATCACCTGAGGAGGAGCCTGTAAGAAAGAAGAGAAGCAGGCATATGACCAAAAACCTGGACCCTGACCCAGGTGAGGGGATCTCCGGGTGCTGGGCCAGGCTGTGGCACTGTAGCATGAAGTCCATGAAGAAGGGCATGCAGAGGGCACCTGCATGCAGCTCAGCTAAAGCTTAAGGCCTTTGGGTTCTGGCCTCCTATTCACAGCTCTTCATGGCCTTCTTCCAGACCCCCCATCTCCTGAGTCACCCACAGAGACGTTTGCAGCACCAGCCGAAGTCCGACACTTCACCGATGGCAGCTTCCCTCCTGGCTTTGTCCTCCAGCTCTTCTCCCACACGCAGCTCAGGACCACAGACAGTAAGGACTCTTCTAAAGACAGCAAAGCAGCCACAGAGGGCCTGCCTCAGCCAGAAAGTCCCTCTTCAGGTGAGCCCTCCTGGGAGGGGCGGTCAAGGAAGCTGAGTCCCTGGATCACAGCCGGAGCCTGGGGTGGAGGTGCCCAGTGTTTAGGCCCCCAAGAGAAGGTCAAGGACAGAGGATTTTGAATACTGAGGAAGCTAGCCCCTGGGCTAAGCATCTCTCTAGATGTGATCATTAGGTTGTACTAGAACTCCCAAAGCTTGGTACCCAGATCCATCCTTGAGGCTTGTTCCACCTGGAGCCCTGGAAGAACTTACCTCGCACTGGTAATACAGGGGCCCAAAGTATGGGGGACCACAGACAGGTGATGAACATCAGATAGGCACTCCATAGCCCAAGAAGCTTAGTGAGCTTCTGTTGACAGCTTGTGTTTGTAGCCTGTCCCACTGGTTAAAAAACTTTTGTGTGTAATTCATTCGGTCCTTATAAAAATACCTTATAAAGCTGGGCGTTGGTGGCACAAACCTTTAATCCCAGCATTCGTGAGGCAGGGGCAGGCGGATCTCTGAGTTTGAGGCCAGTCTGATCTACAGAGAGAGTTCCAGGACTGCCTCCAAAACAATACAGAGAAACTCTGTCTCGAGAGAAAAAAAACAAAACCTTGTAAGTGAAGCATAATAATCCAGCACTTGGAAGTCTGATGCAGGAGTGATTGGAAAAAGGGGAAAAGGAAGGACGTGACTGCTAGGTATAGCGGAGGAGAAACAAAAGGGAGAACAGAGGCATCTGGGGAGTCTAGAGTGGACTCTCAGCCATTTCAGGAAGGGAGAGAGGAAAACCAGGTGTAGCAGCCAAAGAGTAGAAGGTAGAGGATGTAGCCCAAGTGGTTGAATTATATAGAGAAGGGCAGCTGGGACACCCACCCTGCAACAATAGAGTAGAAGGTAGAGGATGTAGCCCAAGTGGTTGAATTATATAGAGAAGGGCAGCGGGGACACCCACCCTGCAACAATAGAGTAGAAGGTAGAGGATGTAGCCCAAGTGGTTGAATTATATAGAGAAGGGCAGCGGGGACACCCACCCTGCAACAATAGAGTAGAAGGTAGAGGATGTAGCCCAAGTGGTTGAATTATATAGAGAAGGGCAGCTGGGGACACCCACCCGGCAACAATAGCTGCATGGGGGTGGGATGAGCAGGATTCTGGGAGAACTGGTCACTTTGATAAATTGGCACCTCGGCCATTTGAGTTTGAGACTTAACAAGGAGGACTGCTACAGCCTAGGTTACAGAGTGAAAAAGTGAAAAACCTATCTTTAAAAGCCAAAGCCCGTGATGGCACAGGCCTTTAATCCCAGCACTCAGAAGGCAGAGGCAAGCAGATCTCTGTGAGTTCGCTTGGTCCAGAAGAGCTAGTTCCAGGACAGCCTCCAAAGCCACAGAGAAATCCTGTCTCAAATTCGAACCCCCCCACCCCCACACACACACACAAAGCCAAAGCCCAAAAAAGCATGATGCCTGTTTTGGTTGGTTGTTATGGTTGTTTGTTTGAAACAGGACCTTGTATCTATCACCTAGGCTGGCCTCAAACTACTTGGAATTGAACTCCTGATCCTCCTGCCTTCACTTTCCAAATGCTGATCCAGGAAGCTGTTCACCACTGATAATCAATCCTACATTTCTTCATTTTTTATTTAAGCTTTTTAAAAATGTTGGTTTTACCTATGAGAGAGCAGGCATGCCATGGTATTCAAGGGAGGTCAGGACAACCTATAGGAGTCAGTCCTTTCCTGCTGTGTGGGTCCTGAGATTAGCTTGGGTCAGCGGGTTCAGTGGTTCCAGCTTGCTTTCTGTGGCTTTAGGGTTCTGGTCTCTTGTCACATCAGATTTTTACCCTTCAATTCTCTACCTCCTTGTCTGTAGTGAGCTGAGCTGCCGGTGTGTTCGGTGTGTTCGCAGCTACAGTGCTACCATACTTCACAACAATCCGAGGCTAAGGGCTAAAGATAAAAATAAAGACAAAGACAGCGGCTCATTCTTACCTCATTCTTACCCAAATGCAGGCATGGTGGAAAAACACCAAGGTCAGAACCTACCTTCCCAGGGACCTCCAGCAAAGGGTGGGCCAAAAACATGAATTAGCTTTTAGACAGTAAACAGGAACTTGCATGCGGGCCTTACTGGGAGGAGGAGGCGAGAAGTGTTTTGCTAAAAGCTCCTGGTAACAAGCAGTCAACAGACCCCCATGGGGGAAGGGTGCAACAAATCCCCTTTTATATATAATTTTAAAATGAGCATTTGGCTTAGGTTGCCCGGGACATTAACATCTATCTTACCTGCCAATGAGAAGTCTGTCCAGGCCTCACAAACACTCTGTCTTAGGTTGATATATATGCCCCGGAACGTATTGCTGGCTCAACCAGGCCTGCACTGAGGGGTTATCTGTTGACGAGGAAAGCATGATCTCCTTTGTAAGAAAATGGCACTGGGCTTGTGGCCTTTCCATATGGCAAACTGGGGCTAAAGACTGTGTTGCCCAAGGTCATAATCCCGAGGGCTAGCGACCCACTCCATTTCTCAAGTGATAGACTTGTCTGTTGCAGTCCTGTTAAGAGGAGGGTCTCCCAAAAGGGAGGCACCCTGATCTCAGAATAGCCAATTAAGTCCATTTGTTAATTAAGATTTAAAGTGCCCAATTGTAATGGGAACTTAAGGTAGATCCTTCCCTGGGGGTTTATCCAGCATGCCTGCCATGGCAACTGGCTAAGAGATAGGGAAGCCAAAAACTGCAGCTGCTGTGATGTCAAAGTCACTCTCGTGTCGTGTGAGGATGAGTTGGTTCTCTCCTGAGTGTTCCACTGGAATAGGCATGACACCTGGGACACGGACCACCAAGGCTGATCAACATCTTCTCAAGCGTTATTCTTGGAGGAGATAATTAAACAATTCTCCCGAGGGGGTGTTATTGAGTATAGCAAATGTCCAAGCAGGCAAATCCATCCTGAGGGCTGCCTTTCCTAGGCTATGGTTGAGGCTAATTATAGCTGGATAAACCTGACACTGAAGATCCGCCAGCATCAGGACAGGCGGGTTCCTCATTAAAGCCTAATGAGTCTATTGGTGGCTGATGAGTATCAGCAGGAACAGAGCGCACAGAACGCTCTGGAACCCAAATTAGGGACTCACTACCTTGTGGGAAAACAAACAGACCCCCAGGCCCAAACCAAAACCGGATCTGGTCCTCTCCAAAGAGGTCAGGTCTTTCCATTTAACTAGAGGTTTTTGCTGTACAGCAGGCCGCCAATGACAATCTGCTGCAGAGTTGCCAGAAGCATCCACAATTTTAAAAATTATAGATATAGTAGAGTGGGGGAGCCAAGGTGGTCCCCAAGATCCTCCTTCTTTACTTTAGTTAAATAGGCTTTTACAGTGCGATGAGTGCATTCCACAATAGCCTGTCCTTGGGGGTTGTAAGGAATTCCAGTTTTGGAGGAGATACCAAAATCTAGACAAAAGTGATTGAAACCTCTGCTGACATAGGAGGGGCCATTATTGGTCTTCATTTGTTTTGGGACCCCCATGTAAGTAAAAGGCTGTAAACAGTGGCTCTTAACATCTTTTAGTTTTTACCCAGAGTGGGCAGAGGTGAATATTAGGTGGGAAAAAGTATTTACAGAAACATGGACAAACTAATTTACCAAAGGATGGCTCATGTGTTACAGCTATTTGCCAAATGTGGTTAGGCAAAAGTCCACGAGGTTTAACCCCCAAGTGAGGCACAGGAAGAAATTCTGCACAAAGAGGGCAATCCTTGACTATTAGAACAGCCTGTTCTTAGGTAATCCCAGTATGAAAGCACAAAGACCCTGCACTAAGATGAAAGCACTTGTGTAGGGATTGTGCTTTAGTGAGTCCTTGTAAAACTGCACCAATTTGAGCATACCTGTCAGCTGTGCAATTTCCTTCTAGGGGACCTGGCAAAGGAGTGTGAGCCCTAAGATGTCCCACAAATATAGGTTCACTGTGTTGCCATAGCAGACCTTTTACCTAAAATACTCACTCCTAACCTTAAGAAGAATGCTGGCTGGCTTTCTGTGGGGGTGGGGTCTCAGGAATTCCCTGACAATTTTGACACCAATGGGTCAAGTCAGGGCTGGAGCCTAACTCTAAACTACCCCTCTACGGGGGCTGGCCCACCTTCTAGGGCCTAGCTTTTTAAATCACCCCCCTATGGGGGCTGACCCACCTTCTAGGGCCTAACTTTCTAAATCACCCCCCTCTATGGGGGCTGACCCACCATCTGGGGCCTAACTTAGTACCCTAAACTTGGTACCCCTATCCAAATTACACCCTCCTACCTTACTTGCTGGCCAGCTTTCAGTTTTTCTTCTTTTCCAATCTTGGTGGGACCTCCATCTGTAGCAACTGCTGGTGTGTTCCCAGCTACAGTGCTAGCATACTTCACAACGATCAGAGGCTAAGAATGAAAATAAAGACAAAGACGGCAGCTCATTCTTACAAGGGGAATGGTGTTTATTTTTACAAGAGTGGATCCTTATATACCAAAGGCAGGCATGGTGGAAAAACACCAAGGTCAGAAGCCTACATTCCCAGGGACCTCCAGCATAGGGTGGGCCAAAAACATGAATTATCTTTTAGACAATAAACAGGAACTTGCATGCCTTACTGGGAGGAGGAGGCGAGAAGTGTTTTGTTAAAAGCTCCTGGTAACAAGCAGTCAACAGAACCCTATGGGGGAAGGGTGCAACACTTGTCACCTGGAAAAATCAGTGACATGAGGAGGCTTCAGCTCCTGGACCCTTAACTAAGTTCTGAGCTTTTCCTAATGTCTTGCTTGTGGGAGTAGAGCATGGGAAGGAAGCCTTATGATTTTGTTTGAGGGGAAACTGAGCCAAGCATTGTAATAGTACATACCTGTAGTCCCAGCCACTGCTTTTGAGCACAGGTACCTGATGCCAGCCTGGGCAAAGTAGCTAGACCACATCTCAAAAGGAAAGCTTGGATCTGTAGAGACAGCTCAGAGGCAAAATCATTTGCTATACAAACCAGAGTACCTGAGTTCATGGCCCAGATTCCACTATACAAGAACACCAACTCCAAAAGTTATCTTCTGACCTACACTCACACACCATGGCATGTAGCCTCACATCAATTGCTCTCCTTCCAATAATAATAAGTAGTAGTAGCAGGGCAGTGATGGTGCACGCCTTTAATCCTGGTGCTTGGGAGGCAGAGGCAGGCGGGACTCGGTGAGTTAAAGATCAGCCTGATCTACAGAGCAAATTCCAGCTGTTAACAGAGAAACCCTGTCTCAAAAAAAATGATGAAAAACTGGGAAATGAAGATTGGGTTGCACACTAGTAGAACACTTATTTAGCTTGTGTATGGTTGTTTTATCTGCATGCAAGTCTGCATCACCTGCATGCCTTGGTCTTGTTGAGGCCAGAAGAAGGTTTTAAATTCCCTCCAGAGTTACAGATGGTTGTGAGCTACTACCATACAGATGTGGGAATTGAACCTGAGTCCTTTGGAATAGCAGTCAGTGCTTCTAAGTACCAAATCATTCTAGTACTAGTTTTGTTGGTTTTGTGTTTTTTGTTGTTGTTGTTTGTTTTTTTGAGAGTTAATTCTGTAGCCCAGGCTGGCCTTGACTCTCAATTCTCTTACCTCAGCCTCCTGAAACTAAGATTTATAAGCATAAATTTATAAACCTTATAACAAAGATTTTATCCCCAACACTGTTACCAGATGGACTTGCCTTGGGCATGTGAGGTTTCTTGGCTAGGATCTCTCACCCAGCAGGCTGTAGCTTGTCATACTTACACCAGTCCCACTCAGACACCCAGCTGTAAGCTCAATACTCAGCCCTGTTGTGTGACAAAACTTTCTTACGAAGTCTCCAAGTCACATACATCTATTTACCCCAGTTAGGGAATCAGCTACAGACTAAAATACAGAAACCTTTGAAGTCCAGTTTGGTGAGTTTTATTGAGGTGACTTACAGGATTATGGATGGAGGGTAATTTACAGGAGTAGAAATGACTTTCAAAGACAGCTGCATCATCAAAGCCCACCCCAGCATGAATGACATGTTGCTCACGAATGTGAAAACCTAGAGCACAGCTTCCAGGCAGTTCAGTAGGTTGGAGACTGCCCTTTCCAATTTGGGTTAAACCTCTTCCATAGCTCAGTTCGTTTCTGCTTCTTCCCAGGCAAGTGATCTGGTCCCAGGCAGCTTTTCTCCAAAAGTAGTCTTTGAAATGATGCCTGTCAGTCTATAATGCAGTTCAACTTTATTCTCTGAAAATGACTCCAAGCTTTGTTTACTCTTTCAGACAGTGGCTTAGTGAATCTCATCAGTTTCCGGGACTTCCTGAAACTAATTTGAGTTGTTTACTTCCTGCTTAAGGAGCTTCCCTGCAGGATAGAATGTTTCAATGTTTCAATCTCAGAGGACATTGTTATACAAGCCGCTCCTGCCCTTCCTTGAGTATCTAGGCCCAAATCTACCATCTCTCAAGAGAAGCCCCTAGCAGGGACTAGTTTTTATCCCATTACAAGAGCTGTGAATTTTCTCCTCCCTGGCACTCATCTCTTCCAGATCTTCTATCAGCCCACATAAAGCTGCTATTTCCTGACCCCTTCATTCCTCTGATTGTGTTCTGTTTGTTCCCAAGGTGGAATCTTTACTCGCAACTGCCTCTGTCTCTGGAATCTGCTGGGCTCAGACTTTATGAGAAGTTTCTTCTTTACAAACATCTGACTGCCATAAAGTTAAAGCCAATAGTCAGACCTCTGTGTTCTTTCTCCCCACCTTCCATTCCATCCTGAGTTATTCTGAAACAAGCCATGTAGCCTTGTAGACCCTCACCCTCTTCTTCCCAAGTACCAGGGTTACAGATGCAAATCGTCACACCTGTCGTTTCTCATGTTTCTTGCTTGCTTGTCCACTCTTGGTTCCAACAGTTGGTACACATCATATTTATTATCTGTCGCCCCATTTTAGATTGTAAGCTTATTAGCCCTGTGATGGTCACAGTGGTCATAACATATCTAGGAAATGACATCTGTGGGGTTGCAGCTTGGCCCTCTCTCCCTTTGGTTCCAAACTCTGTACTGGTAGCCAGGCATTATCTCTGTTTGAACGGTTGTCAGCAGAAGATGGTGGCTATTGATTGTAATAGCTGCGCTACTGAGGCTCAGGCAAGAGGACAGTGATTTTTGAGGACATCCTGTGCTATATAGTGAGATCCTGTCTCAAAACAAAAACAAAACCAAAACACCCTAGCACTCAAGAGGCAGAGGCAGGCAGATTGCTGCTTGTGACCAGTCTGGTCTACATAGCAAGTTCCAGGGCAGTCAGGGCTACATAATGAGACTTCATCTCAACCAAAACAAAACAAACAACAGAAAAGTTTTGTTTTCGAGACGGCTTTCTCAGTTCAGAAAAGATTTTTTTTCCAGACACCATTCTCTACTAAATCTTCTAGTTTAACCAGGCTATGGGGGTGCACACCTTTAATCCCAGCACTCAGGTGGCGCAGTCAGGGGATCTTTGAGTTTGAGGCCAGCGTGGTCTACAGAGAGTTCCAGGACAGCCAGAGCTACACAGAGATACCCTTTGGGGAAGAGGGGAGGTACACTTCCCCTTTTCTAGTAAACTGCTGCCTTTGGCTTGCTGTAGCCAAACTATCAGTTACCCTCTTCTCTCAGCCCCACATCAGTCCCTCTGCAGACCTAAGTTCACTCTGTCAACTGCCACTACTTTGACCTAGTGTTGCCTTAACTTTTCCTAGGAAGGTATGAAGAAATGTCTGCTTACCCCAGCCAGACAAGGTGATTCAACTCACATTAGTGTTCTACCACTGAGCTAATGCCCAGCTCTGTTTACTTTTTATTGTGAGACAGAGTTTCATTTAGTTGCCCAGGTGGGCCTTGAACTTTGGGTTATGGTCTTTCTGCTCCACCTTCCCCTGGGCTCGGGTTATGAGCATGTACATGGTCCATACCTGGTTTGTTGAATCTCTGTATGTGGATTGAACCCAGGGCTTAGAGTTGTCCAGGCAAAGTGCTCTACCACTAAGCTTGCTGTGTTCTCAGCTCTTTTGAGTCTATACATAGCCCTGGGTGTCATGGAACTCAATGTGTAGCATAGACTCAAACTCAATAGAGATCCACCTGTCTCTGCCTCCTGAGTATTATGATTAAAGGTGTGGGCTCCCATGCCTAGCCATATTCTCATTCATAACTTTAAACTCCAGAAAAAAAAAAAAGCAAAATCGCACCTGTCTTAAATTGTATAGAAAAAAAAAATCCTGGGAAGAAAAAAACTTACTGAATATGTTGGGTACACAATTGGTGAAGTTTGGTTACCATTTCCTGTTTGGCTTTTCTTTTTTTTTTTTTTTCTGTGTAGCCCTGACTGTTCTGCAACTCAATTCTGTAGATGAAGCAGGCCTTAAACTAAGAGATTTACCTGGGATCAAAGGCGTGTGCCACCACTACCTGGGTTTTGGCAGGCAGGGGTGGGAGGGGTGTGAAGTCTCATGCTGTTGGACTTATTGGCCTGCCTCTGCCTCTTCAGTGCTAGAATTGCTTTGCCATGTATCACTTGCAAGGGTCCAAGTCAAGGAAATTTTTTGTGTTTACTACCTTGTCTTATTTGGAGGCCTGGCTTTGTTATTCTCAGTACCTTCCTCATGCTAAGACACCTGACTGTGTGACACCTATCAACTCCAGGGATATGGAGCCTGGATGAACGCTGCAGAGCAAAGCTGGGTCATTAACCCAGGGAGTCTGTGATGTCATACTCCATTGGGTCAGAGCCATGGGTAGACTTCTTTGGACGTTCTCCGCTATATCACTTCTGTGTGCAGTCTTGAAGGTAGAAGTTGGGAAGCAGCAGCATCATTGTGAACCCACATGCCAAGTACACAAGGAGGACACTGCGTTCAATTCTTGCCCTGTGCCTAAGGGCTGTGAGGCTGGTCATTGCTGGTCAATCAAGAGTCAGCCTTATGCTTTTTCTTGGGCTTCTCCCAGGACAAGACTTGGCTATGGAAATGGGAAACCCTGGTAGTCTTGTATGGTTTGCAGTTTTGGGGACCATTGGAAGTCCCTGACTGTACTCTCTGCTCCCATCCCTTCCCAGCTCCCCCTCCGGGGCTTCGTGGGACACTGGATCTCCAGGTTATCCGTGTTCGGATGGAGGAGCCACCAGCCATCAGCCTCTTACAGGACTGGTCCAAGCATCCCCAGGGCACCAAGGGGGGTGGGAACAGGTGACAACCCAGACTGGCCCACAGTCCTGTCAGAATCCAGTTCCACTGTTAAGGGACAACCAGAGGCAGGAAATGGGGTGTAAGTTTTAACTTTCCTGGGGAGGGAAGGGTGGGAGGGAGGCGGCAGTATCCCCCTTTGACTTTAAATCTCAGATCTGCCCAGCTTGGCCACCTGATGGGGAGTTTTAAAACCAGGTGCCAGGAGAATGTGGAAGGAGGAAGGGTGACATCACTGTCACATTGGGATAGCCTGAATTAGGCAGAAGTTACTTAGGCTGTTGGGTGATAGCATTGGGCCTGTGGAGAACACCTTCCCTAATCCTTCGCTGACCCACCCTCTAACCCACACCTCCTCCTCTCAGCATCCCACCATTCTCCCCTGGCACAGTGCCTTAAGCAGAGGTGGTCATGATGGGGTTTGAACTGAGTCCCACTACCTCGGGGGGGCACCTCTCCTCCCCCACTTCTGGCTCCTACAGCAGGAGGCATCCATTACCTCTTACCGCCTCATCCCTGCCGAGGGCTCCCTTTACCACCCCTTCATCTGTTGTCCTGTTGCATCTATTATCCTGTTGTATATATTGCCTTTGTTGACAATAAATTATTTTTTTTTTATTAAAAGTTCTGTCTGGGCCATCATTGGGAAAAGGGAGCAGCTTGAGGGGCCGGAAACTGAAAGGTGGTCCTAAGTGGGAGCCAGAGACTCAGAGCAGAGTTTGCTTGGGCCTCTGGGACTGTTCTAATTTGGTGTCGGTCAACTGAGAGACACCTTGCTTCTTCCCCTATCACGTTTACTCTCTTTGACCTTCTGACCTACATGGTAGGCCTCTGTCCAAGTAAGGCTACCTAGAGACACACCCAGGGAGGTAAGAGTTACTGGGGCCTAAACCAGGTGTGGTAGCACACACCTTTAATCCCAGCACTTGGGAGGCAGAGGCAGGCAGATCTCCTGAGTTTGAGGTTAAACTGATTTACAAAGTGAGTTCCAGGACAGCCAAGGCTGTTGTTACACAAAAGGAGAAACCCTGTCTCAAAACCTAGAAAACAAAGTTATGGGGTCCTCCTGGTCAGCCTGCACAGACAACTGTCAGAAGGTGGCACATCCCTGCTTTCTTGTAGGTCTGTACCCTCCACTACACAGCTCTTATTCCCCGAGCCTCAACCCAAGGCTGCCTCAGGTCTCTGCAGATTTCCGACTTCCTCAGCTAGCCCTATGCAGACCTAATCTGTGGGCTTTGGCACTTGGTGCCAAATGAACCTTCCAGGTGGCTTCATCTCAAATCCTAGGTTCTGCTGTCCTGTTCAGAATTCCCAGCAGATATATATAGTAAGGTGGGGCTACCTCACACTGCTGGCTGCTTGGCTGCTCCTGGTAAATTAGAGACTTGGGAAGAAAGAAGGAAGGCTCACCTCAATTGGGAAGAGTCTGGTCTTGTGGAGATTGGCCTTAAAAAGCCATCTGATATTCTCAGAAGGAGCCCAAGAATATAGAGGGTCCCTGTCCAGGGCAGGCTGAGACAGGTATGAATAGAGATGGCAGTCAAAATTTCAGGGTTCCTTGTGTCCAGATTGTCTCAGCCATGAATGAGGCTAGATGGGCCACAGGACTCCTGGATCTGTATGTGTTTCTGCAGATTTGGCACAATTTGTATGCACTCACTATCTCTGAAAGCACTGTTTTGGAATTGTAGGTGGTTTCTGTCCCTACAATTGTGTGACTGTTTACATTTATGCCAACTTGCTTTTAAGACATAGTGGCTAACAGTATTAAAGAAACTGATATCAAAGACTGTGTTGTAAAATGACTGAAATGCCTTCGATGTCTTGTGAGCCTGATTTCTTCTAGACTGTGAACTCTGGGGCAGGGACCAGATTGCATTGACTTGGTTATTCTGATGCCCCGCATCGGTGCTCAATAAATGTCTGTCAAATGCTTTCTTGGTCTCTAGGTGTGTCTGTGTGACCTTTTTCTCATCTAGCCAGTGACTCAATTCTTTTTGTTCTTGGCTTTTTTTTTTGTTTTTTGTTTTTAATATATGGTGCCTAAAGGAAAAAAAAAAAAGATATTCTCCATTATGCCTAGTCTAACAACAGTAGAAATGCCCAGTTCAGTTATAACAGAAAAAAGATTTAACACTGACCCTTCGGGATGGGGGGGGGTTCAGTGTCTTTGAGATTATCTAATACTTATAACCATCTAGCTTCAAATTGGGAGTTCCCAGAGCCCCCTCCTGGTTAGTTAATTTGATATGAGAGGGCTGGTTAGATGGTACTTGCCATGCAAATCTAATGACCAAGTTCCAAGAGACTTCTGGAAGTTGTCCTCTGAGCTCTATGTGCCTGGCACTCAAGAACCATGACACTTGTGTACCTGTCCTCACACAGATGTATTGCAGTACACACCTTTAATTCCAGTACTCAGGAGGTAGAGAGACAGGCAGATTACTTGAGTTCAGAGACTAGCCTGTCTACAGAGAGTTCCAAGCTGTCCAGGTCTATGCAATAAGACATCCACAAAACAAAAACACAAACACTGGGGTAAGGGCATTGATGACTTGGCTCATGGCTAAGAGTGCTTGCTGCTCTCCTCCATCTGCACCCACACCAGGGTACACTATGCCTGAAACTCCAGCTCTAGATCTGATGCCCTCTTTTGGTCTCTGCACACACGGACACATAAAACAATTTAAAAATTAACAAGCCAAGCAGTAGTGGCGCCTGCCTTTAATCCCAGCACTCGGGAGGCAGAGACAGGTAGATCTCAGTGAGGCCAGCCTGGTCTACAGAGTAAGTTCTGAACAGCCAGGACTGTTTGGCAGAAAAACTCTGTCTCAAAAACAAAACAAACGTTAAGAACAAGTAGAGCTGGAGAGATGGCTCAGTGGCTAAGGCGCTTGCTTCTCTTCTGTAGGACCTGAGTTTGGTTTTCAGTACCCACATCAGATGGTTCACAGTTGCCTGTGACTCCAGCTCTGAGAGAACCTGATGGTGGACACCTGTATGCATGGTGTACATAATACACATAAGTTTTTGAAATTGTCTATGAGGTTTTGTTGTGCCCAAATTCTGAACCCCAAAATCACCGAGACCTGATCTGATGGAAAAACAAAGAGTCTTTAATTAATTAAAGAGTTAACTATTAACTCAGGTCTTCTGACACAGCGTCTGGAGGGAGAAGGACCTGGGCAGGACCGTGGGGCAGGGAATATATTGGGGTAGAGCAAGGGGAGTGTCTGGGGGTCCGCAACAGTCTTAGGACTGGTACACTTCCAGACTTGGGCAACCTGTTCTATGTTGATTGGCCAGCTGCAGCTGCAGGTAGGTTACTAGGGCCTATAGGCCCTCCCAGGGCTGTCGCTATGTTCTGCACTCCACTGTTACTGGAAAGCACATCCAGAGCCCGCCAGCTAACTTCTGATTGGTTCCTTGCCACATGAAGGGTATCTGGCTTCCTTGTGACTGGGACAAGGTCGGGAACTCAGTACATGTTGCTGAGTCAGGGGCCTATGTCTTTGTTTTGTTTTTGTTTTTGTTTTGAGACAGGGTTTCTCTGGGTTTTGGAGGCTGTCTTAGAACTAGCTCTTATAGACCAGGCTGGTCTTGAGTTCACAGAGATCCTCCTGCGTCTGCCTCCCGAGTGCTGGGTTTAAAGGTGTGCACCACCACTGCCTGAAAAGGGCCTACATCTTGCTGGGTCTTTTCTACAGTCTGTTATGGCTGCTAAAGCAGGGGGCTGGGTGAGGTCTGGTCCTTCAGTTTCACATAACTCAAGGAAACTTTGACATAGCTTGCTGAGATTATTATAGGGTATGTTACCAAGAGTATGCATAGCAAAACAAACAAAAGAGTATGAATAGCATGGGAACGTCTGTCCTAGCTGACTTGGGATATATTCCCTACTAGCAAGTGGACTTCCAGGGAAAAATGGAGAGTAGGGCTGAGCCTAGTCAGTGCCTCCAGGACCTCCAGCTCTGTGATTTACAACTCTAGTTCCCTATCACCCCCAGCAGCCCTCGGCTAAGCCATTTTGTCTTTACCTTTACTCAGTCCTTAGCTCTAGGGAGTTCCACAGGTAGACCAGGCTGGCTTCGAACTCGCACCATCATTGCTCCTGTCTCCACTCCACTGCTGAGATCACAGGTATGAGCCACCACCCAGCCTTCCAACTCTTTTTTTGTTTGTTCGTTTGTTTTGTTTTTTGTTTTTTGTTTTGCAAGACAGGGTTTCTCTGTGGCTTTGGAGGCTGTCCTGGAACTCGCTCTTGTAGACCAGGCTGGTCTCAGACTCCCAGAGATCCGCCTGCTTCTGCCTCCAGAGTGCTGGGATTAAAGGTGTGTGCCATCACCGCCCGGCTCCAGTCCTTCAATTGTAAACAACCATACCTAAATGATGAAAATGTTAACTGCTAAATAATCTTTTAAAACAATTTTATGTGTGTTTTGTTTCCTTGTATGTTTCTTTATCACATGCAAGTTGGTGCCTAAGGGCATCAGATCTGGAATTGTGAACTGCCATGTGGGTGCTGGAGTTTGAACCCAGGAATTCTGGAAGGGCCAGCCAATGCTTTCTCCTGATAAGCTCTCACCTGATAACCTGTCCTTCCAGCCCCAAAATGGTATTTCTTTAGAGTTACAGAGCCTGGAGTCTAATGAGAGTGTTGCTTCTCTCTGTTGTGTGCATCAGGGACACAAAACTGCACAAGTGAATGACAGGAAGGTTAACTTGCAGGAGAGTGCGGTTCATATTAGCAAAGGAGGTCCAAAGAAAAAAAGAGGACCTGCCTTGAGTGGGGAAGCTAAAGCCACTCCGAAGGAGGCTTTCCTGTCCTTTGTCCTACCACAGCCCTGCCTTTTCTCCCACATATCCAACTTTCCCAAGGTGATGTATGAGGGAGTTAGTGTTCACATACTGTGGGAACACCAGACCTTGAGCAGAGACCCACTTCCCCTTCTGCCTGGGAGTAGGCAGCTGTAAGACAATGTTTAGTAAAGACATGTTTACTAAAAATGATACAATAGGTTCCTGGCCACTTCCCCTTCTGCCTGGGAGTAGGCAGCTGTAAGACAATGTTTAGTAAAAACATGTTTACTAAAAATGATACAATAAGTTCCTGGGAAAGGCCTTCCCACGGAAACCGCCCTGACCTCGACCTTGTCCAGAGATTAACCGAACCTTCAAAAACCCACACACATCCACCTCTGGTGTCAGAGCAGAACCAGCCAGGGTAGAGGAGAGAGCAGAAGCTTCTCTGGTGGGAGCCTTTCTTAGGAGGTTTTCTTGAACCTTTTTGGAGCCTGTTTAAAGTTTTCTTTATATCATTGAACGAGTCTCTGTGTTTTCAATACCCGACACCCTCCGCACGTTCTCGGACACAGGCCTAGAAGCAGACGTGACAATTGGAGGTCCCACCGAGATCGTGAAAGCGAGGTAAGTGGACGGGGTTAAGAAACTATGGGGAATAGTTCCGGGAAGCTAGAATCATTGCAGTATCAACTAAAAAAGTTACTTAAAGAACATGGGACTGCAGTCAAGTCTAAAACCCTAGAAGGCTTTCTAAAATCGATCGAACGAGCCAGTCCATGGTTCATTACTGCGGGAAGCTTAAATATTCCAGATTGGGAGGAGGTTCGTCGTGATCTTCATAGACTTTTACGAAAAGAGGGATCTGAGTCCTTGCCCCCTACGACATTCTCCTTATGGAGATTAGTGAGGGGAGCACTTTTGACAGATAAGGTTCGTCACCGCCAGGTAGTTCAGGACACAAAAGAGGCTTTTTTTTGAGTTACAAGAGACTGAGACTCAAGCCTCCTTGAGTTCAGGGGCAGAGAGTGATGATGAAGAGACCGTGACTGAAACTAGAGGCTCCATTGTTAGTGAGGATGAGGAGGAGTCTCTTAGTAACAACAAAAAAACGGGTAGACATCTCCGGGCGCGACCCAAAAAAGAAGGACTCCGGTCAGAATCGGTTATATCCTTCTCTATCAGACCTAGAAAATGGAAGTAGCTCAGACTCAGACTCGTCACAGTCTGAAAAGGAACGGTTACTTGCTGAGATCGCGACCCTTAAAAAAGAACTAAAAAAGATTCTAATTAAGGAAAGACAGGACAGGGAGAGAAACCCTTCCCCATATTCTGAAAAAAGGGACTCCTCCTATGAGATAACCCAGTCCTTCTCAGACCTGGAGGGAAGACCAAGAGGAGGGGTCCAATGCTGCCCGGTGGTGGCCCCAGTAATGGAAGTTCCAGATCCGAACAATTCTGGACAGGTCATTAGGCGTCATAACCCTTTAAATTTTAAGGATATAAAACAACTTAAAGAGGCAACTTTAAATTATGGAGCATAGGCTTCCTTTACACTTTCCTTAATGGAATCTTTTGCATCTCTTAATTTGACACCTGGCGATTGGCAGCAGCTTTGCAGAGCAGCTCTGTCGGGGGGAGATTATTTGATTTGGAGAGGTGAGTTTCAGGAAAGATGCAGCCAGACAGCTCAAAGAAATGCACAGGCCGGACAGCCCCAGAGAAATGTGGAGATGCTTACCGGAAGTGGTCAATATGCCACCATTCAGCAACAAATGCAATATGACATCGCAGTCTATGCCCAAGTGGCAGCAGCAGCCCAAGGGGCTTGGAAAGCATTGCCTTCCAAGGAAGGAGGGGATCATCTGTCCAAAGTCCTTCAAGGACCTTCCAAACCTTTTCAAGACTTCGTAGACCGTCTCAGTCAGGTAGCAGAAAGAATATTTGGGGGCATTGGGCCTGCGATGCCAGTCATAAAGCAGATGGCATTTGAAAATGCAAATAAATATTGTAAGGAAGCCCTTCGCCCCTATCGCAATAAAAGTCTAAATGACTATATCCGGATCTGTAGGGACATTGATGGGAACTTCATCCAGGGCCAAGTGTTAGCTGCTGCCATTCGGCCCCAAGTGGGG